AAAATTTAAAGTATCATAATAATAGTCTCGATTAAATTAATAAATTCGTCCTATCAAGTGTCCAATCCGAAAGATCTATATTTCTTTTTGCTTCGTTTCCATTCTTCACGAGTAACATATTCGCGTACTGTGTTTTTTAAGAGGGTACATAAGATGGAGAAACGTTGATGATTTTAGATACATTGTGATACGTATAAATCTTCTCGTGACAGGTGAATAAATAGAGAAATTTCGAGAGGACTGAAGGAAACTATTTAAAGAATACCGAAACCTACGCAAGTGAAGAGTGATCAATTTTTAGTCATAAAATAAAAAAAGAACGTTTCAGTGTCTGTGAGAAAAGGTAGTGTTCTTTGAAAGAAATTCTTCGAGAAACACTTTGCAAAGCGCGGTGCGAATAGGAAAAAATTGATCTTTTCTTCTAGAGAAGATAGATTTATGAGATTGACAGGTGATAGAAAGGAGTGTGACAGCGAATTACTTTATTTTACTACGAAACTTCGAGGTTAGGTTAATTCACTTCGCAGAAGTAAAACAATATCCTACCAATAAATCCTGACTAATACATTGTTGGATCTTTTACGTTATTAGTTCGTAATTTGTGCGTTCAATCGTTGATCTGCAGAAACTGTAAAAGTCGATTCGAACGAGTGTAACGAATGAGCAAGTGAATCTGAGTGAGCAGGGTTACGAGACGGTACTCGAGGAAAAATAAATAAATCAAAGCGAAGAATATAGGCGGTAAGCAGTGAGAGATGAATCAGATCAGGAGATGTCTCTGTTTCTCAAATTCTCAAACGATAAATTGTATAGTTGGTGGAAACGATATAGTGAGTTCGCAAATTAAAGCATTACGTTATTTGTAAGTATTGTTGTTAAACACAAGTTTTTCAAACACACTGCAATGGAGGAACCAATTCCAAGTTGACATCGAACATCCCTGAACGAATCTCAACCTCCTTATCTCACTCGAATTGCTGCTTCCGCGCTCAGATTACGTGTAGGACTTTGACGTCTGATAAATTTTACGACCTTGTTATATCGCTTCCACCGACTATACTCGACAGGTCACTATAAAAACCTAAACACCCACATTTGGAGTCCAAATTTTCGCAAAAATATGTAACTGAACGTAATCCCTCATCGCCCAACAAGGCTACCGAAGAATTTCCCTGTTTCCAGTATATCGTTATCATCGAGTTACTTCTCAAACCTAAACATCCAAATTTGCGCAAAGTAACCAATCTTCGTTCAAAAAAACCACCAGATCGACAAAAAGCGTTCGCCTATCTCGAGTAACAGAACGGCTGGAAAGACGGTATCGCAGCATCTAAGAAAGTGTCGCGGAGAGTAGTATGAGCGATGCATGCTCTAGCGAGCAACAGAGGATCCAGGAGGCGAATGTTCGCGCGCACGGCCACTCTTCTCACCGGCCGCGGCGCGCGTCGTTGGAACACGCGTGACTCACGTCTCCGCGTCGTCTCCGCGTCTCGGCAAGTGTCGCCGCCACACGGGGATCTCGGGAACCGCGTCAGGGATCCCCCTACCGCCTGACGAATCGCGCGGCTAGCTGGAGAGGGGAGGGGAGGGGGGCCCATGGTTATACCGCGTGGGGAGAGGAAAGGGGAAGCGAGTCATGGCAAAACTTTTGTCCATTCACGGTCGACACGCTCCTAATTGGGAGTACGCTTCGTGGTCTCGTTCCACGCGTACGGTCGCTCCGTGGAAACACGACCGGACGCGGACTGTCTCTTCTCTCCGAATTTTCTATCATTCGAACGCGCCCGCGCGCCTTGTTCTCTACGCGGACAATTAATAATTGGCGTCGCCGAGTGATTTTTGTTCCCCAAGGTTCCCTATCGGCTGAATCCACCACGGGTCCGCGTCCGCCTAATCAACGGGGCCAGAAGAGAGTCTCGTCGGCGCGGAGAGAAGGGCGAAGGGGGGAGGGGAGGGGGCGGCGAGGGGGAGCAGCAGGGTTTCGTTAAAAATCGGCAAACGTCCGGTGCGACCTCGCTTTTGGCTGCCGGCGTAAATCAATCCTCGCGAGACGGGCATATTTTTGTCTAACTGACGGACGACCGACCAGGAATTTCTTAACGAGCGCGTCGATTCCGGAATCGCTGTTGATCGGCTCAGCACCTGTTTTCTGCAGCCCGTTGCTGCTGCTGTTACTGCAATTCTTAGGCTCGGTTTCGATCGCACTTCGAACACACGAATCTGTGGAAATTTTCTAGTGGACCGTGGAACCTGAGTGATCGATAGGAAAGTCGATCGACGGGATTGGAAATGAACGTGACCAAATACGGTGACGTTAACGAGCTATGCTTCTCTGCTTTGCCTTCTGGTTGCCAGTAGAAAATTACTTTACAGTTTTGCGTGTTACTCTGAAGAATAACGAGCTTTTAAACAGTCTGGCATGTGTCAGGTGAACGACAATGCGCCTTTTACTTTTTGAAAGATTTCTAGCTCGCCTGATTACTGATACGACCTAACCTATCCCTGTAAATAACGTTTCTACGTTTTTTTTTTTTTTCGGGAGGGACGGGGAGAATTGACAGTTTTCTTATTAACTGCTAGCGCAACACCTGTATAAAATTGTACTAAAATATTTCACGTTTCGGTCGCTCCACAAATTCACGTCCCTAAAATATGGAGAATCCGAGCGTAGTTCCGATTTGATCCCGATAATCCTAAAATGAAATTCGAAAGAAACGATCGCTGCTCTTTATCACTGACTCAGTGCTCCCTAATACGCAGCATCTGTCATCGTTCCATGAACCTTGACTCACTCGTTACCGTAATAGTCCGGCGATGAACGAAAAAAAAAAAAAAAAAAAAAAAAAAAAAACTAATACGCAGCATCTGTCATCGTTCCATGAACCTTGACTCACTCGTTACCGTAATAGTCCGGCGATGAACGAAAAAAAAAAAAAAAAAAAGAAGAAAGAATCGAGACATCGACCAGGAGGTTTAATCGCGAACAACCGACACCGAAAGGATCAGCTTGACTTTCGGCTTTCGTTTTCACTTTCCTTCAAAACGTGTCAGCAGGTTATACCGCTTCATCGATCCTCTCACTGCGACCTTTCTGCCCCGCGTCTATTGCGATTACGTCTGAGCGAATTAAGTCGGGAAAGGGGACGTGACGACAACCTTTGCCAATAATTGTCTCCGTGTTTCATAAATTCGATGGTGAAATATTCAACCGGGGTATACGGCGAACAGGAGCAAACAGCGGAAACTGGACGGGATGAGTCTTCCGCTTTCCGGATATTCGAGCCACGTTCCGGCGTCATTAACCCCGCGGCCTAATCAATATACATAATTATGAAACTATGCGGCATTAATAGTCCCGACCCGGTCAGCTCGTAATCTCGTACCGGTACGGGACCAGTTCGCGCGTTATTAAGCGGTCGTATTTTATCGAGAGCATCTAGCCAAGCGGCACCAGTTATTCAAGGAGATCGTCGCGCGTTTACGGTCATCCTCCAGCTACACGGGACCGCATTGTTTCTCCTATACGCGGCGTCTTTCGTCATTTTTCATAGCAAATCTCTCCCTTGGCGAGAGCTCGTTTTTCCTTTCCGTTCGAGTAATTCGTACTTGATACGGAGATGATTGAAAAATTGTAATTGTAAGAAAGGAGAGCTTCTGTGAAGCTAGTGTGAAGTGTACACGGTAAACGTCAGGATTCGCGTGAAAAAGAATTGGTAGAAAATAAGTTTCGCGATACTTTGAAGGAAATCACTAGCGAGGATAAACCTGTTCCGATACAACGAACACGATGCCAGGAAATTTGTATAATTATGCTTCCGGTAGTTCTGCAGATAGCGTTTAGCGATGTCTAAAACGGTTAGACGATATCGTTTCGTCTTGTCAAACATATGCAAAATTAAGGAGAGCTTGTAAAAACGTCTTCCACATGTCATTCGATATACTAACAGAATTAGAATATAGTTTTAAGAAACAACCATGTCTGTTTGCTTATACGTTCGTTTCACGCGAGAAACACACTTCTGCTAATTCGATGTTGGTATTTTCTTGTTGAAAACTTGAAACCGAGAGGAACACTTGTAAAACGATCGTTTATTATTCACGGCGAAATTAATCGAACTATAGGAACCTCTACGAAATTCTCACGTTTCTGTTGTTTTTCACGATCGTTCTGTCACTTTCCACGAGAAACAGGTACCGAAGTTGAAGATCCGACACAACTGGTTTCTCTCGCGTCCACCGTTGATACGTGAAACGAAATATTCGAGGAACCTAGCTACGAGGAGAGTAAAAATTTCACGAAGAATCGTGGATACGAGGTCGAGGATAGGAGCACGCGGTTTTCTTTGAAGAAAATCAGGTTGTCAACCACTGTATGTGGGCCACATTTCCGCAAGTCGGTCAAGCCATCCCCTAAATCGCTGAACTATCCTCCAAACAGCAAGTGTCGGGCAAACTTCGCCACCCTCGCACCCTCGTTGAAACTCGGGGTCGGCCAAGTGGCCGGGAACCTGACCAGCAATTACCAGCTGGAAGACTCACGAAACGTGGATTCGATTTGGAAATTCGCGACTAGGTACTCACTAGCTACAGATATTCGTTTGGAAATTGTCACATCAGGATCGATCGTCCCGTTGGCGGATCTGGTTCGTGGTAGGAGGATTTAAAATCCGCCTGTCATTTTACTACACTTCACCGCACGATCGAACGTGATCAAGAACAGAAACGGATCGAGACTATAGGTGGTACAGGGTCTCACTTTAGCTCCGAGTCACAGTCACAATCTATCGTTCTCCGCGGTGCAGCAGGGCAGGAAGCTACAAGTGTCCGCGGGGTGTAGCACCACGGAGTGAGAAACAGTGTTTCCCTCGAATAGGTCGAGGATCGACTCGAGTAAACATGTGGAGGGTGGTAGGGTCGCGGGTATCTCTCCTAGGAGAAACAACATGTCACACTGTCGATGCACACACGATGCAGGAGAATCACGCACGTAGCTCACTTACCTGTTGCCAGAATTGGGCGAGCAGGTATATGCGCTCCTTCTTGAACAGCCAGTCCATGGACTGCATGGCCTGAATGTCCAGCGAGTTGGCCTCCGCAGAGGCCTGCATGCTGGCCAGTGCCGGCGTATTCAGGCTAGCTAGAATGGGCTGCTGGAGCACGGACGCGTTGCTGCTGGCTAGCAGATTCGCGTGGTACACAGACGGTGCATCCTCCGAACCGCCAGTAGCCAGTAATTGGGCCCCGATCGGCGCTGAAGGCCCCTGGAGGCCCAGTGACGAAGCCACTTTGACGGCTTCGAACTTCTCCGCCGGGTCCAAAACTGTTCCCCTTTGTTTGCCGGCGCCGCCGACGCCTCCTGGGGCGCACGCCTCGGCCGGCGGGCCCGTCGCTACCGTCTCTTCCTGTTTCTTAGTCCCGGACACTGTCCCGGAACACACTGGACCTGTCGCACCACACACTGGCCCCACGGTCACACCAAAACGCACAATGTCCTCCCCGAGTTCACCAAAGTCATCGACGACAATGTATGATGCTGGCCAGACGGGATACCAGGTGTTTGAATCTCGTTGTTTCAGGCCGGTCGTCAGGCTGCCCGTCGTGGCTGCTCCCGTGGCGGCATCACACCCAAACACACGCGCGGAAAAACCGAGAAGAACGCACTACACGCGGTCACACTTCACTGGCCTCCGGTTTTTCCCTTGTCTCGTACCGTTTTCGTTTCGTTCCGTTTGCGTCTCGGTTGACCTCAGGAAGAGAGTACGAGACCCGTCCTAGCAGGCTCCTAACCTGAAACTAAGAGCTACCGAACGACCGATGCGATGTCTGGAGGAGGTACACTGCCGCGAGAGGGGATTGGGCGGCGCTTAGGCGGCGTGGTGGGGGCTGGCCGGCCCACCGCGCGGCCAATCACACGCCGCCTATGCACCCCACCGACCTCCGCGGTCTTCGCGCTCAGAGGAGAGCGTCACCTCGACGGGGATAAGCTGCGCGGAGGAGGGAGACGCCACGGGAAGGACCGGAGGCTGGCTAGGTGGTCCCTACCAGAGCGGATCTCATATTTTCAGCTCCCCGACCGCCCTTTTCTCCAACCCCTGCCTGCCGATCGTCGGTTCCCTTCTTCTTTCCTTCCTCTTTTTCTCCCGGCGTCTCCCTCCTCTTTGTATCTATGTTTCTTATTTTCCCCCGCACCCCATTCCACCCGTCTCTCGTTCTTCACCCCCGACCCGTGAACCCCCTCCTCCTCACCCCTTACGTCGCCCGCCCAGCAGACAGTAACCCTTCGATTGCTCGTTGTTGTCTTTGTTGCGAGCGCCGTTACGATTTTCTTCACGTTTCGAACTAAGAGAACGAGGTGTGATCGAGTCTCGATAGGGTTACTGACGCGTTATTTATACATGGCCGCAGCCTTTACCACCGACGCAACGCTTTCCATTTCTTTTTCTTTTTTCTTTTTGACTCCTTCGCTACGGAACATCGTCGTTACTTTCGTTCATGTTCTGGCATTTATCAAATCGACTGGATGTCGCGTGGCAAATCTTCGCGTCGATTTTCTTTATCGATGGAATTTAACGACAAACGGCTGTTCTTCGAGATTTCGATTTTTAAGGATTCTACACGTGAACGCTCCGCAGCGAAGGGGCCAAGCATTTAAGCCTATATATTCCCCTCGCGTTCCTGGAGTCGAAAGCTAATTTGATTGAAAATAAAAAAACACTTAGCGCGGGCAAATGAACGCGGGAAAGGATCGAGAGAAACGTGTCCCGGTAAACTGCGTGTTATTTGCATTATTTGTGCGTCACAAATACGGAAATAGGGTGAAAATACACGCGCGTAAACGGTAGCCCAGCTTTTCTAAGTATCGACTCGTAGACTTTTCTTTTTCACGTTTTGGAATAGAATCTCGACGACCGAGTTTCATGTCAAAGATTTCGACACTAGAAACACCTTCTTCTTTTTAAGGCAAAAATGAGAATTATCTTGAAGCGTATAATCCATAGGCTGGCAATTGTTTTTGAAAAATTCTCGCTTCACTTGGCAAGTGCTTTGAGCGACTTCGAATTTAAATGTTCGGCGGTCTGCGAGAACCGAGTGTATTTATGACAGATTTCGAAATGTTGCGAGTGCTATGGAATTCTAAAGAGCGGAAAATCAAGTTGGAAGTTCGCTCTCGAGCATCGAGAATGTTACTACCTTTCAAACTTGACGCAAATCAAGCGTATGGTGGAACTTGATTAGAAGTCACGACATATTCTAAAAAATTAAATTTAAATTATTTTCCTAAAATCTGTCATACAAAGTCGCGGACAATTAATGACTGAAGGTAAACAAAGAAAAACTGGAAATATTCTAGATAATGACGGTAGAAGAAAACGAATACTTTCCACCATTCTAACTTCAAGTTATTCTAAAATCGACCGTAGCACGTTGACTAAAACCATCGCGGAAAATTCATCACCGAACGTGAATGAAGAAAAATTGGAAAAATTTCCGAAGCAGTCGTGAAATATTCCAGATAATGACTTACTGATTCCTTACTTCCAATTATTCTGCTAAAATTAAATTAATCACTGAAGGTAAATGAAGAAAAGTGTAACAACCTCACGTCACCACAGAGTCAGGAAAATCCGTAATCCGTTGGAAAAATTCATCGCGGAAGACACTGTTGAGCGACACTGTTCCCCGAAAAACTAAGTCGAGATCGAAGAAAAATCGCTGGAAAATGTCCATGAAGAATCGGAAGAAGCATTATCGAAGCAAAGTCCCTCGATTGCCGCAAAGCGTGAAAGACGTGTCGCTTCCGGCATACGCGTTAATCCGCGTTACCGTGTTAAGCACACTTCGTGACAGTCAAGTTAACCGGAGCCGGGTTCTGGATAATGCAACTTTAATTTCCGCGGCATTCGCCAGTTACACGAGTTAATCATCGCCAGTGGATGATAGTCGCTGTTGACGCGGAAACGAAAACAACTGTAATTCGATTCACGCCACCACCAATGCCGAGTAGGTACTTGTTGCTGTGTCTTTCCACTGATTAATTTCCCCTGTTAGAAAATCATCGATACCTCATAGGTGAGATTTCTCTCGAAAATTTCTTTACGAACAGTTTTACCTGTCTTGAGACTGTTTTTTCACGAATTCGAGGAAAACGGAGACGAACTCGATGAAAGAGGATGAAAACCGTTGAATTTCTGAAATCTGGCAATCTTGCCCACAGTAGAGAAACGTATGAATTTTCGTTGATAAATTTTGACGAAGGAAAATATTAATCAGTAGGCGTAAAATGAGAGAAATAGGTTAGCTTCGATTAACTAGTCGTGTCTGGAAACGATTGATTCGAGGCTGACGGCGACGAACTCGATGGAAGAGACGAGAAGATCGAATGTTTGAAGTGTAACTATCTTTCTTACAGTGCAAAAACGAAGTAATTTTCTTTGATAAATTTCGACGAGGGAGAATATTAATTAGTATGGTGAAATTAGAGAAATAGGTTTGCTACGATGAAATAGTCATGTTTGGGAATGATTGAACTCCAAGGAAAAGACAAAGAGATGCTTTAAGTATATCAAATACTGATAAATTTAGACGAGGAAGGATGTTAATTACGTCTGATTATGAACGATGAAACACTAGTGAAATTATCAAGGATTATTCAACTTTGCCAACAATTTGTGTACAATAGAAACAGAAGAGTGTCTCAAGAAAACGAATACAAAGAAATTCGAATCTTCAACACTGAAATATAAAAAATAAGGAAATCATCGAAATTCTGTATTTCATTAACCTCACTGAAAGATCTACAAAGAAGCGAACGACGAAAACCTTTAATTTCAAGACAGAATTTCAACACCGAAATATGCGAAATTCTACATTTTTCATTACCAGAACACCGTATTAATCGAATTTAAATAACTACGAAAGAGGCAGTCGAGGAAAACGTTCAGTCTCGAGACAAATTCTCAACAGCGAAATATGGAAATCGTCCAAGTTCCGTATTGTTCGTTTCCAGAGCATTCGTTATACCGTGTCAACCCAGTAACGTGGAAAATGTCGAATTTCGATAGATTTGCTATCACAGCGTTTCAACGATCACCAGTTCAATTTCGAGATTTTCCGCGAGTAGAGCGTAAGCGCGTCCGAGTACGACGAGACATTCCCGAAAATTCGTCGCAGCCGCCCACGAAAATACTACGCGGCTGTTGACTTGTCAGCGCGTGCTTTACGATCACCCGATATAACGCGGGGATTAGTTTGTCAACGCGGGCCGGCGTGCGCGTACACGCGCACCATGGTGCATCGCCATCACGCATCTTCGCCGACCAACTCACTGTAACGCATTGTTGCTGGAAATTTCGTAACGATCCTCGCGCCAATGAACCGCGACGTGTTGGAATTACGAGAACAGGAATTTCTCGCTCCTTCGAGGAACAGAGCCACTTTCTCCATCGAAAGAATCGACGCGAACGGCACAGTTTTTTTCTGGTTCGGAGTCCATTTTTTTGAAAATCGAGAAAATTCGCGAAGAAACAAT